ATAACTCTAGTTGACCTCCTACTCTTTTCTTCTTCTCCTTCCTTCTCTACTGCTGAAATCTTCACCTTCCCCCTCTTTCTCTCACAAGAAGCTTGACTGAATCAGCAAATAGTGATTTCTACTTGGTATCACAGCAGGTTGAAGGTTCTTGAAGTTGTTCTCTCATGCAGCCCTAGATCGGCCAACTGCATGGTGATTTAAGAGGCTGATCGAAGCTCTCAGGTAAGCCCAGTTTTTGGATTTTCTTGATGGATCTGTRTGCCYTGTAGCTGGTCTAGGGTTTCTCATCAGAATCAGGAAAAACTAGAGAAAGGGGAAGAGTCATGTTTTTGCTGGACTCTTCAATTTTGACCTAGGAAGTGGCGCCCTAGTTTTTTAGGGTTCATTGGAGTTTTTTGTAAGGGCGATTCAAGTCCCACGTGGTTTGGAGGCTTCTAGAGAGGGCGGTTGTCTTTTCTCTCTCTTCTCCAATCCCACAGAAAATGAATATTTTGTGGGAAGAAAGCCCAGGACACCAAGAAAGTGTTGTTGGTTCCAAAAGGTGTCTTGTTTGATCTTGCTGCAATTTTTAGTTATTTTCTTTACCTTTTTTTATAAGTATGGCGGGCCATAGAGTTGAAAATAAGCTCGGGAGTGAAATGGGACCAATGGGAGGGGGTGCTGGAGACCTCTTCGGGGCTGGAACCATTACTACAGTTAGGTTGGATGGTGCAAAMTACTTGGAATGGTCACAATCTGCAAAGATGGTCATTGGGGCTCGTGGGAAATTAGGGTATATCACTGGTGAAGAGGTGAAACCCGAAACTAGCAACTCCCGGTTATATGGTGATGACTTGGTTGTGTAATTCCATGTTGCCACATATAAGTAAAAATTTCTTATGAGCAAACACTGCTAAGGAAATATGGGAYGGGGTTGCAGAAACCTATTCACAAAGGAGAATGTTGCTAGGGCTTATCAACTGAGAAATTAGATTATTGCTACAAGGCAGGGAGATAGATCTGTTGCAACCTATTTTTCAGCCCTTAAGACTCTGTGGTAAGAGATTGACCATTTGGAGACCTTTGCTTGGGAAACCACCAAGGATGCAACTACCTATCAGAGACATTTAGAGAAGTATAGGGTGTTTGAATTCCTTGCTGGCCTTAACCCTGAGTATGATATTGCACGACAGCATCTTCTTTCCAGGGATAGTGCCACTCTCTCCCAAGCATATGCTTTTGTGTCACGGGAGGAGTGCACGAGGGATGTGATGATGAAAACCCAAATTTCTGATCAGTCTACCATGGTAAGTGCTGTGAAACCTAAACAAAATGGCGGTGAGATCAAGAAGAAAGACAAAAGAGACTTGGTTTGTGACTACTGTAAGAAGCCTAAACATACAAGAGAAACTTGTTGGAAGCTTCACCCACATCTTGTGCCAACTAGATTGAGAAATAAGAAGGGAAATGCACACATGGCAGTTATCGGTGACACTCCGGCCCCTCCTACTACAACTGCTTTAGAGTCTGTTGCAGCTACTGCAATAAGGGCCGGACTTGAGAGGTATGGGCTACTTCTGAACCAGCGGGATACAGTTAGTTCCAGTTCAGCCGCAAGCGGACTACAAAGTACAGGTGGCACTGGTGGAACTCACTCTACCTACTTTGCTCACACAGGTAGTTCACATGTCACTGCAAATTATGTTTCCACTTCGGGTAAGAAGGGACCTCCTTGGATTATAGATTTTGGAGCCTCAGAGCACATGACCCATAGCTCCACTATTTTTTCCTCTTACCAACTCTGTTCTGGCAGAGATAGGGTCTCCACTGCTGATGGATCCCATGTTCCTATTGCTGGGAAGGGATCTGTCAAGATTAATGATTCTATTTGTTTACCCTTTGTCCTTCATGTTCCCAGATTGAGCACAAATTTGTTATCTGTTAGTAGTTTGACTAAGAATTTGAACTGCTCAGTAATCGTGAAGTGAATGGAATCTACTTCCTAGATGTTCCCCCTCACCAGAGTCATCATGTTAGCAGGGACAGTGAGTCAGGATCTGTGAGTCAGATTATGCTTTGACATAATCGTTTGGGCCATTTGTCTTTTTCTTCTTTGAGTTCTTTGTTTCCAAAACTTTTTGAGTCTGTTAGTCTGTCAAGTCTGGAGTGTGAAGGTTGTCAACTTGGAAAGCATTATAGGCATTCTTTTAAACCTAGTAATAAAATATGTTCTTCTTCTTTTGATGTTATTCATTCGGATGTGGTGGGTCCTTACCATGTTCCTTTTATGGGAGGTTATCGCTATTTTCTCCTATTTGTGGATAATTTCTCTCGATACTCTTGGATTTACCTGATGAAATCCCGCGATGAAGTACCATCCTTGGTGCGACAATTTCATCGGATGGTACTAACACAGTTTGGAACAAGAATAAAAGTGTTCAGATCTAACAATGCCAGGGAATATTTTGAAAGACATCTTGCCTCGTACTTGTTAGAATATAGTGTTGTCCATCAAAGCAGTTGCTCCTACAGTCCACAACAGAATGGTGTTGCAGAAAGGAAGAACAAACACATTGTTGAGACCGCAAGAAGCATGATGATCACATCTATAGTTCCGGTTCGGTTTTGGGGTGATAAAGTTCTCACAGCAATATATCTGATTAGCAGGGTGCCTTCTCGTATACTTGGATTTAGCACTCCATTCAGCCTTCTTTTTCCTCAGGGGGAGATGTTTCATGTTCCTCTCAGGGTGTTTGGGTGTATCAGCTTTGCACACATCCTTAGTCCTCACCACTCGAAGCTTGATCCCAAGGCAAAGAAGTGTGTCTTCCTTGGATATG